GTCGGCCAAGCTGCGGGTGCCGCACGGCTACATGGAGCTCGGCCAGCCGGTGTTCAGTGCCGGGGGTCCCGGCGGATCCACGCCGCGTGTTGACCCCACATCGGGCTGCCTCGTGGTGGAGGGTGTCATCGTGGATCACATCAGCCGGGTGGGAGCTCGACAATTGCAGCTGGATCCGTCAGACAAGACATCGGAGGGTGTCGACTACATCATGACAAAGGCCTTCCTCGACGAGACCCAAGAATTTGTCGAGACAGCCGCTCAGCTCGCCACGTCATCCATCCATGGCCTCCACGCCGACCAACTTGCCCAGGTGGCGATACGGCTCTCTGACTTTGGCCTCACAGAAAAGGTGCTGCTGGAAGACATGGCGCCCGACGCCGTGGCGACGACACTCGTCCGAGTGCGAGAGCAAGTACACCAGACCGGCCAGATGCTGATCAAAGCGAACAACGCGATTCAGACCTACACTCTCGGCAACCTCCTTCAGAGTCTGAGCCAGGCACCATGGTACTGGGCTCCTCCGAACGAGTTCGAGATGGTCCGGTCCTGCGCCGCCACCCCCCGTCAGGCTGTCTCGACGTTGCTACGCGGTGCGCGCCTCGCGGCCATGGATGTGCTCGTGGCTCTCGGCGCTTCGACAGCCATGTTCGTCGTGACACGATGGATCGCCTTTCGCAAACGATTCAGGGGGTTCAATTTCGAGGGCGTGACCTCTTCGCAGAGGGCAGGTCTGCAGCGTTTCGGTCTGGACGAGACGTTGCTGCGGAGCACTGCGATGCGAGACTATCGCGACCACCTAGCGAGAAACATTGGCAACCGGGTGTACATGACGAAGCAGGGGTTTGTGGGACTGTGTCCTTCGCAGGCTGTGGTAGGGGATGCAGTAGCCGTCGTGCTGGGCGGCACGGTGCCGCACATTCTCCGTGCAAAAGCAGGGGCAGCGGCTGGCAGATGGGAGTACGTTGGTGAGGCCTATTGTGAGGGCGTCATGCAGGGGGAGGCCGTGAGACAGCCGGATCAACGTGTTGGCGAAATCCTCTTGGAGTGAGCGACGTGAACATGATGGTTGCTCATGCCATGTTGCTCGGAAATTATGGAGGGAGAGGCGGTGGATTGCCGTTCATGCGCCCACTTGTGAGGCATCGGTAATGAGATCTTCATGAACCCAGCTTGGAAGATGGATGTTTCCTCAGCAGGGAACCTTACGCTATCTTAGATACAGTAGTCTTGAGATCTCCAACGAAGAGCTAGCGGGCATGGGGCCCAGATGAAGCAAGACTATATCTGGATCTGGATCACCAATAGAACTGGTTGCGTACGACTTGGCTCTTCAGAGCTCGAGGTCCTATCCGCGGGACGTCAAGATCAGATATTCCACCCATAGCAGCTAGATGACTAGGCAAGTACCTTAGCGAGAGGAACATGTCAGGGGCTTCAGAGACAGAATGTTGCCGGGATGAACGCTGCTTAGGCTTGAAGATGCTCTTGTTCACCTGACTGGGCGTGGCGTGTGTCGAATGCAAGGAGAGAAAAAAGGTTGCAGCTACGCCATTCGGACTACAGTCTTAAAACGGGAGCGTCCAACTCTGCAAGATAGCGAACTGATTGTTCACGAGTCCAGGTGGTTCTGCCACACAATGTCAGCACTGCACACCCCCAAATGGATCAATAGACGCGCACAGGAGGTTGCTCCGGAGCATTTGCCCCAGACGACCCACTCAGGTCGCACACCGAGCCACACGCGCTGCATGCGGCTTTGCGAAATGCCATGTCGAATCCCTGAGGCGCTGTGGGATAAGTGGGGGGATTGCGGCAGTGATCCAACCAGACGAACCATCAGCGTCTCACGAGGTGTGGCTGCTGATCGCATCGTGCATCGGGGGGATGCGAGGCGTGTAGAGTTATGGTGGTATGTGTTGTTCTTGATTGTACGCGATCGCTCGAGGATACCGCATGACGGAAGAGATAGGAAGCCGACTCTGCCCCTGCGCAGTACGTACCAAGCGTACGGCGCCTACCTCCCTGGTGTAGGTACCTATGGTCAGGACCTGGTAAGGTAAATAGGAAGGTAGGTAGCAGGTAAGGCAGGCAGGTAGGCACCCGAAGCCCCCAAGACCGATCACTATCGAGATCTGTTAGCGTCCCACTACAGCGCTGTTCGCCGGACGCCAAGTGGGCCCCACGTCCCCCGGCGGCCCTGGGCATTACCCGCACTTGTCCTCAAGTGCGCCAACTGCATCTGGCTCTGGCCTCTCCCAGTCCTCTGACGACACCCATCAATCCCTGGGCCAAAGACCGAAAGCCATCCGGCTCCATGAGGGCATCCCATGCCTATCAAAGTCGCCGGCGGTTCGGTTCGAGATCCATCGAACGAGCTCCTGTCCCCTTCGCCTACCGATGAAAGGGCTGCCTCTACCGGCCCACCCCTGTTGCCGCCATCCAACTGTCGCAACCACGTTACATGACATCTCACAGCACGCCCGCCTGTCCTCCCCCCCTCTCCCCCAGTTCCATGACATCAACGATTCTCGCATACGGCCACGGGCCTGGCCGAGGGGAACCGCGTGTCGGCGCCGAACGTGAGGATGCCCCAACATTGCGCATCCCCGCGAGATAAAGGCTACATCATCCCTCCAACCTGCATCTCTTCTCGACGACCTGTCCTGTCTCAGTCGACAAAACGTGACAACGGTCCGCCCCAGACACCGAAGCCATCCATAGCCCTTCCCTTGCCCGAAAGGACAGTCAAGGTTGCCGATCCCTCTTTCGTGGCACTGCTGCTGTCGAACCGATTCCAGCACTATGCACCCGTCCAACGCGCCCAGGGACCAAAGCTCTCCTCGGCCACACACGCCACCCAACGAAATCGAGGG